ACTCAGACTTGGGCACAATTGTTTTTAAGAATTTTAAAACACTGAAAGAAAATTTTTTTTTTTTCAGGTTAAAGTGTATCCTTTTTGCTGAAAAAATCATTTATTTGTCACTACGTGTTCACTATACAATATTTGAAGAACATTGTTTTTATTTCTGTCAGTTAGTGCCATACATCTTATTGTAAAGTGTTTCATAACTCAAACATTTAAATTTTTTTACTTCTTTTCCTACATTTCCTTTCTTTCATACTGTACCACCTAGTTTTTGCTGGAAAAAAATTATATTTAGCACTACATTTCAAGTATAGAGATTAATTTAAAAAAATGTTTTTGCACGAATAATGCATTATATTAAAAACAAAAACAAAAAAATTATAAAAGTATTCTTGCCCAAGTCAGTACAGTACACCAACGCCCTGGTGAGTTACTCGTACCCACCTCATTTCACTACTTTTATTGGAGGGTTAATTGCTGATAATATAAATAATAAATTGGTACAGTAATCTACTTCCTGATCATGTGTTTATCAAAGGTAATATTACTAACGCGTGTGATGTTGTTCACGTTTGAGTACTGGGACCAATTAAAACCTAACCAGTTGCAGGTACAATTCACTCGGTACAAGCTTTTGCACTCTAGAACGGACCCGATTCTTTATTTCTCCGAAAGAAAAACAGAGCCACATCAATGAAATTACAAAGTCGGTCCGATCCTACCGGCTCCTCCCCGCCGTTAATCCAATCGGCCGCCTCGGAAAGAAAACCCCCACCGACCGTATATTGACACAGACTCCTCGGTAAAAAAAGCCTATCCCTTTCTTAATCTCCCCAAAGTAGATTTCACCAGCCAATTACCGGCTACACGCGCGCGACAAATCTTCCGTCGGCCGGTACACCTCGACCCGCCCTTCCGATCTCACCTTAGCGTTCGTGCGAGTGTACCTGTGTGTCGAGAAAACTCGAGGGGCTCGACAGAACTAACAGGGGCGCGGTGCTGATCTGACGTCACGGCTTTGTTTACCCCCGATCGCGGAGCTGTAACGAGTTACCTTCGTTTGCTCTTTTCTTTCCCTCCCTGTGGAAATAACGAGTCGTGCCAGTGTAATTGCTACGAAAACCTTATCCTCGACCGCGCGATTTTTGTCTCGTTTTAGCTCGCCGATAAAAAGATGCTTGAAGATACATTAAAATTTACGGGTCATTATTATTACGATGGGGCGAGGCTCTGCACCGCCGAGCAAACACTGGTGGGTCTCGATGGGAAATGTCTGCAATCAAACACGTGCAATGACAGTCGTTCCGATCGATTGGTAGGGACATCGGTAAGTACACCTTTGCTGTTCGTATATTATGTGTACCAGTTGATACTTTGGTGCATTTTGATCGATTCTCTTGGAGTTGTTTTGTGCTCTCAAGGTATTAAAAATTAACAAACGTATCCGTAACGTTGAGCAATCGAGGCTAAACGAAATAGTTGAACGTCTTCAAGATATCAAAAAATACGAAATGGAAAAACGTATCGTTACTTTTATCCATGGATTCAATTGTGAACCTGTTTTACGAAGAACTGACAGTACTATTTGGAAAAATTTTTTCTTTTGATAATATAATAAATGTAAACAACAAATTATTATTTCCCTTATCAAAAATAAAAATAAAATACTAATACTTATGTGTAAAAACACTTTAATGATGCTATAAAACTAAATATCATATTTAACATTTTTATGTTTAAAATATACGATGAGTTTTAAGTATCTGCATGTATAGGTAGTGCTTGAATTAAAAAATTACTCTTAATTTAACAGTTTTTTCATAAAAACATATGTTTGAGTTTTTTTTTTTTTTTTATTATTATTTCATCATCGACACCTTAGTTCTGATGTACAGTAAGGAAAAACTTGTTTTTCACGCCTTTTATGGGAAAATAGGACACAAATTTTACGGAACGGTGTAATCAATGTAATATGTACATAATATTACAACAAAAACTGCATCGTACTTTTTGGCCATGATGACAAATGCCTGCAAATTGTCCTGTAAAATTAAGTAGAAACTGGCGAGTATGGTCAGACAAACTATAGTCAGACGGATAGATACAAACATAGTCATAGTTATCAACGTCAAGTTTTGCCTGAAAAAAAAAATTTGGTTAATCTAGAATCAGCTTAAAAGGTGATCGCAAGATTCCATCCATCCCACACTTATAACAATGCAAGTTAAATAAAAGCGTGTAAAAAAATGAAATTTCCCGTAACCCTCGCAAGCTAGCTCTTTCTCCCTAATTTTCTCGATATTACGTCCCCCACTAAGTCTCTTCTCGAGCCCTTATCTCAGAAATTTCTCCCCCTCCCTTTCTTCACTGAACTTTCACACCAACGCGTTTCGAATCGCGAATCACGACGTATTTAGCGAGTCACTCAAGCATACCAAATTACGCCTAATGGGCCCCGAGCTCGTTTTCGCGTGAATTTTGGAAATTACAGCGCGACGCTGATGGTTTAATCGCAACTATTGGAATCACAATTTTCGCAATGGATGTCTCAATGGAAGCGTCTACCGTCGATTACACTTTTTCAAAGCCCCGCAATCCAAAAATACTTACCCTGTCTCTCTTCCTCTGGACTCATTTCACCGGCAAACTCTCGACGTGAAAATCCAAAATTATCTGCGTCCGGACGGGAGTCCATGCGCACGATACTTCTCGGAAACTCCCGGAGAGCACCGCAGCATCCGAGAGGGTCGTTCTCCGCAGTCTCTGAGCGATAAGTCGGCGTTACGATCCCCCACCCCTGCTTCCTTTAATTAAGTCCACCGCAGCTTTCATTACGAACACGTGTGCGGGACGAAAGTCCTGGGGGCTGTAATGGTGCCCCGCCGGCGATTTTACGAGGCTATATATACACACCTACAGCTCGACAGGAGAGATTTGCCGGCCGGGGAAATCTGAATCTATACTCTCCCGTCGTTGTCACTTGATTGCGATTGATTTTTACGGTGGACGAGGTTTTTGTTCACTCCATGGGTATCAATAGCCTTTGGGGAGCTAGGTCAGGTTAATTCGAGTGAAAAGTTGTATGCTCGTAGAAACACCTAACTTTGATACTTGCATTGTTTTTCTAGTTTGTAGATTATTTTTATTTTTTGTCGATGCAAAAAATGTACAAAATAAGTGAAAATGACGAAATTCAATGGTTCTGCAGTGAATGCTTACCTGTTATAGCTATTCAATTTAGATTTTCGTTAAATGAAACAACGATTGTTCACTGATAAGCAAATAATTATTATTCTAAAATAAATGATAAAACACTCACATTTTTTATGGACGTATACTCAATTTACTGAGACACTGGTACAAAAATGACTGACATGAACCATCTTTATAATGCTTGGTATGAAAATAAAAAAACGGCTTATAAGTTGGAAAAGCTGAAATCTATTCATTTATATTTCTCAAAAGTTAAACTGTTAAATTGCAATGTAATTTTTTAGTAAATTAGAGCAAAAGTAAAATCTGCTCACATGAGCTTTTTTAACAGGAAATACATTATTGATCATAGTTTATGTTATTCAAGACTATTTTAACAGTTGCGTACGTGGCTGTAAAAAATTGAATCAACGATGCCTTCTTATTCAATGACGCAGTGAATAACATCATGAAAAGTAAATGTTAAAAACAAAATCCAGATGTAAACAAATTCCTCCATGGTCACCTGCTAACAATTGAAATCGCTCAATCACTTTTTGTGCATGTATATCAAACCTCTTGAATCAAGATTCTTGATTAAATCAACTTTTTTTATCGTGCACAAAAGATAAGGTTTTCATTTTTTTTTTTAATACAATATTATTAATTTGATGATCTGTACATTTCGTGCAATAAAATTTTTAAATAATCTTTAATGGCCTTTCGCAATATGCAAATATTCCATGACGTAACAGTAATAAAATCTTTTAAATGACTAATGCTCAATCGTAGTTTAAACAGCTTGACAAATAAATCAAGGTACTATTGGAAAGGACAATTAATTGTTAATAGTATAAGTTTTTTTTCTTATTGCGTAAAAAATATGAATAAAACATAATAGTATAAGCTGCTATGGCTATAAAAACAACGAGTTAACACTTTAAGTGGGAAGAATTCGTCAAGCTGTCACTCTTGATATAAAACAAGGTTAATGTCAATGTTCCGGTTTATCTAGTTCATCAAGTATTTAGGTACGTACGTGACATTGAATACGTGTTATAAAAAAGAATCGATGAAGGAAGTCACCTACACTGAGAATACAAAAAACTTGAGCCTCAAATATCTACATAAATAAAGACATTATATATACGTATACACATTTTAATAAATACGTGGAACAAAGTGGATGGATAGGAAAACTTTGTTAGTAATGTATAAACGTAAACGTCAATTCGATTACAGTAACTAATTATTAAAAATCTTGTACGATTTTATAAAAGCTTTGTCATAGTAACTATTACTGTTTTAATAAAATAGGATAAAGTAATTAAACTTATTATCGTGTGAGTTATTGTAAAATCGTACTTTACTACTGTTATTAATATAAGTATGAAATAAAAATATTCGTGGTTCGAAGCCTAGTCACAATATTATACTACCAGAAGCAGCATGTGCATAAAAAAAAATTTTTGATATTATTATACATTGGTTTTTTATGGTTCTTACTTATCCACTTAGAGGTCAAATAAGAATCATATTATTTTCATTGATTCGTAAAGGTCAATAAATTTTTACTTGTCAGTTAAAGACACTTTACCGCTATTTTAAAACTATTAAAGTCTTACAATTTATTCCCATTTGATATGTCATTTGTTATAAATGAAAATCATTTTTATTAGAGTATGAGAAGATTTTTTTTCATTTATCAATTGTTTTGCACTTTGTAACAAATTTGTATTGAATTTTTATCAATCTTTATTTTATAATAATTATGTGTTTTATAATAATTTTTTATTGAGATATACATACATTAAATGCAGATCCTCAATCATTTTTAAATAATATCGTATGCAAATAATCAAAAAACTAAATACTTTACTTTTTAGTTACATGAAATGTAATACATTATTGTGAAACACAAAAAATAAATTATTCGTTACTATTTATTCCTTTAATTTTAAGTGCTGCATGTCATAAAAGTTTAGTTTCTGAAAATCTAATATTACATACGAAAATGATATTCATGTGTATACGATTTGTAATGACATGCATGAATCGTACGTTGCACTAGCAAAAGTGGCAAAACAAGCGAGAATTGGCAGTAGCTATAAAATTTGATAATATTTAGTATTAACTTCTAGACTTCATCTGCAACCAAAATCCACCCTTTGGATACACCGCAAATTTACTGGAATCGTGTTTAAATGGTATACAAGTTTTTTTACATGGTTCAAGGCTACATTTGGACAATAACTGAATGAACAAAGTCTTAATCTCAAGTATAGCAAAACGATTACCTATGCACATTCTTGGGCCTAAACCAAAGCCCAAATTAACCACATCACCACTAATTTTCTTGTTTGAATATCTATCAGGATCGAATTTATCTGGATTTTCATAATAAACTGGGTCTCTATGGATAGCCGCAACAGCTGCAAAAACTTCTGTTCCAGATTTAATCGTTATTGGTTTAGCTCCAGGTAAAGCTGGTGGAAACTCAAAGTCCTTAGAGCACACCCTCGACACGAAAGCGATAGGATGCATTCTCATAGTTTCGTAGAAAACAGCATCCAAATAGTTCATATTACCAATGGCTTCGTACGTAGGCTTACCATCACATTCCCGCATGACTTTATCTATTTCTGACTGAAGTTTTTGCTGAGCATCGGGATTGACAGCTAGTTCGTGTGCCATCAAGCACATGAAATCAGATGTGGTGTCGAAACCGCCAAGGAAGAAAATAAAAGCTTGTGCTGTGATTTCTATCAAGTCTTCACTAGAAACCTCCCCAACTTTACTTTTAGCATCAATTAGTAGCTGCAACATGTCCGGTCGAGTGATACCCTTCTCTTGTCTTGTCTTTATCGTTGTTTTGATAATATTAATAAAGAAATCAGTTTCTTCTTTAGGTATGATTCTAGTGCCTAATTTTGAAGCCAGTTTGGGGAAAATAGCTTGAAAGAAAAACTTAAGCATTATTTTTCCATTAGTGAACGAGCACTTTTTTCCCGTAACGTAAAACTCATCGTTTGGATTATCCAAACTGTTGACCTCAATACCAAAAGCACATGTAGCTATTACATCTGTTGTAAATCGACTGAAAACATCTTTAATGTCAATAGCATCAACATTGGCAAACAGTTTTATAAACGTTTCTGCAAATTTTTCAGTACACTGAGACATCAACACGTGCATCGTCCGCATTTTACTTGACGTAAACGCTGGACTCAATAAACTACGCACATCTCTCCATTTATCGCCATTTAAAAAAGCCAAATTCTTACCAGTTAGTGGATCGATTGCCTCTTTGACAAAAGTTCTACGATGAGCGAAATGGTCAAAGTTTTTAACAAGCACGGATTTTATCAAGTCGAGATCACGCACAACTATTTTATGACTGAAGAAAGTATAAGAAACGACGTATTTGGCTTCTTTGTTCATGTTGTATAAATCTTTTACAGTGCAGTTGATGTGGCGACGGCTTATGAAGTTAGAACCAAAAGCACCAAGGTACGGTAACTTAGGATATTGAGGCACTCCACGTTTTATAAAGTACCATCTCATTTTAACATTTTTCCACACAACATACATTACACATAAAATAATTAACCAAATCCATAAAGCCATGATGTCAATAAAGTGAAAACTTTTGAAGTCTTCCGTGAAACACTAGACTGAGGTACGTATAGAAGGTACGATATTTCGCATTCTACTGCAGCAGCTGCGCATCTAGAGATCAATATAAGCGTCCAGTGCAGTGTGCAAAACAATGACGTAATCTTGTCAGTCGTACGTAGATATGTGGATGCATAATTTACTGGTCAATGATGATACATGCACATGTAGCTAGCAAAAAGTTTCGTCATATTTTTTCCTTGTACGTTTAGTCAGCTTACTTTTTTAACCACTTGGATTAAAGGTTACGATTAAAAAACAAATTTTCAGTATTATACTGTACAAAGTATATTTTTTAATAAGTAAATAATACAGTAAATGGTACATCGTTTTTTTTTTCATATTATAGTGCTCTACCGTCCGGGCACTACTATGGGCACTTAGCACTTGGGAAAGGGACAAGAAAAGGGAGGGAGGCCTCCCATTACTGGGAGGGGGGTAGGGGGAATTTAGGCAATTTTTGCTGCGAGAAGGTCGCCTAAACCCTCCTCGAGGAGCATTGCGTGGTGTAAAAGCACATGCGAAAATTCACAGAGGTACTTACCCGAAAAAGTCGCACTGGCCGGGAATCGAACCACGGTCTCCCGCATGCCAATCCACGACCTAGCCGACCGAGCCACCGCGCGCTCTAAAAGTGATACAACGTTATTTAATCGCTATAACAAGTATTGCATGGTAAATTACTTCCCAGGTCTTAGTTTCAACCAACATCCACCTTTTGGGCATGGCGATATAGTGCTTGGATCATACTTAAATGGTAAACAAGTTTTTTTACAGGGTTCGAGGCTACATTTAGCTAACATGTGTACAAACAGAGTCTTTATTTCAAGGATACCAAATCTGTTGCCTATACACATTCTCGGGCCCAAACCAAAGCCCAAGTTCAAAACGTCGCTCGTAATTTTTTTGTTCAAATATCTATCTGGATCAAACTTATCTGGATTCTCGTAGTAGTTTGGATCTCTGTGCACGCCAGCAGATGGAATCAAAATTTCCGTTCCTGTCTTAACCAAAAATGGTTTCAAATTCGGCAGACTTGGAGGCAACTCAAAGTCCTTAGAGCATACTCTCGTCAAAAAGGGTGAGGGATGCATTCTCATCGTTTCATTGAAGACAGCATCCAAGTAGTGCATATTGGTTATGGCTTCATAAGTCACCTCCCCATTATTTTCTCTTATCACTCCGTCAACTTCGGTTTTAAGTTTCTCTTGCACATCAGGATTAGCAGCCAATTCGTGGGCTATGAGGCTCATCAAGTCAGACGTGGTATCAAAACCAGCTAGAAAGAAGATAAACGCCTGAGCAGTCAATTCCATGGTATCAAGGCCAGATGATCCATTCATCTTGTCACGTGTATCTATCATCAGTTGTAGCATATCTGGTCGGTTAATGCCTTGCTCTTGTCTTGTTTTGATCGTCGCTTCAATGACGTTGACGAAAAATTTGGTTTCTTTCTTCGGCACGATTCTCATCCCCAGTTTAGCTGTCAGTTTCGGAAAAAGGTCCAGCAGAAAGACTTTCAACACATTTCTTAAATTGTTGAAAGAGCACTTCTTTCCTGCCACGAAAAACTCGTTGTTTGGGTTTTCCAAGCTGTCAACTTCGATGCCAAAGGCACACGTTGCTATAACGTCGTTTGTGAATCTGCTAAATACGTCCTTCATGTCAACAGCATCCATATTACCGTATCTTTCTAGTAATTTGTCGGTGAAGTTGACAGCACATCGCCTCATGAACACGTGCATTGCTCGCATTTTACTAGACGTGAAGGCTGGACTAAGTAAATTGCGTATTTCATGCCATTTGTCACCATTGAGTTGAGCTAGATTTCTCGCGAATAAAGGATCGTTATTTTCGTTAGTGAAATTTTTGCGATCAGCAAAATGATCGAAATTTTTGATGAGTACACTTTTTATGAGGTCAAGGTCACGTATGATCAACAAAGAACTGGAAAATAACAGAGACACTGAGTATTTGGCTTGTTGGTTCATACTGTATATTTTTTTTATTAAATCGTTCATCGATTGACGAGTAAAAAAAATAACACCAAAGGCACCGACAACTGGTACCTCCGATAGGAGTGGCACGCCCTGTTTTACGTAATGCCATTTTATTCTATAATGGTTGATCATGACATAAATCATGTATAACACTATAAGCCAAATCCAGTAGGCCATGATCATCGTCTGAGTTTATAATGTTTTTTAAATACTTTTAATTTAATCGGAACGTATTAAAAAGGAAAAAAAATTGTCCGACGCTAGCACCGAGCGATACTCAACTGAGACTAATTGTGTAGTTGTTGGCAATGCAAGCCACTGGAACTGCGTATCAGGGAGCTACGTACGTATTCTCAGTTAACGATGATGTGTGGGTTGGCGTTGATGTATGAGTACACGTGCGACTCTCTTGTCTCTTGCCTGTGTATTCATCTATAGAGAACTTTTATATCCAATGATTTCCTCACTCGTATCAGATTCAAAAAAAAATTACAATCTTTGATTATCAGAAGTAACTAAAGATTAGAACTATAAAACTGCTTTGTTGTATTTTATGTTTTATAAAATTGACAATTTAATATAATTTGCATACAAAAGCTTAAAAGTATCTTAATAAAATAAAAGAATTATCTAGGGCTTATCTTCAGCCAAAATCCGTTTTTGGGGTACGTCAGAACGTTGTACACGTCATACTCAAAGGGCTCAGGTGACTTTTTGCATAGAAAGAGTTCACATCTCGACAACAGGTGTAAAAACAAAATCTTCGTCTCCTGGACAGCAAAGCGGTATCCTATACACATCCTTGGACCCATTCCGAAGCCCAAAAGAGTTGCGTCAGTGGTGGAGATCTTTTTTTTAAAAAACCTTTCAGGATCAAACTTCTTGGGATCCTTGTAGTTTCTTGGATCGGTATGTATGGAGTAGAGAGGAATCGCCATTTCGTCGCCCTTGTTTACCGTGTAAGATTTAGCTTCTGGCAAACACGGTGGCAGAACGAACTCCTTAGAGCACACGCGTTGTATAACACTGATGGGAAATAACCTCAAAGTCTCGTTGAAAACGGCATCCATGTAGGGCATTTTGTTGTTGACAGCTTCGTACGTTGGTTTCCCGTTGTACTCCTTCATTATACCATCAATTTCATTCCGTAGCTTTTGCTGGATAAGCAGATTGAGAGTAAGGGCGTGGGCTATGCAACACATGTGGGAGGACGTCGTGTCGAATCCACCGACGAAAAATATGAAAGCCTGTGCTGCTATTTCCAACAATTCGGCGTCTGACTTTGCGTTGCGAGCTTCCATCAATATCTGGAGCATGTCTGGTCTCTTGATGTTCTCCTTCTCCCTCGTGGCTATGGTTGTCCTGATGACGTCGACGAAATAGTCCGAATTGTCTTTCGACATGAATCGAAGGCCCAACTTTTGCGACAAGCCGGGAAACATTGTCATGAAAATCATCTTTGTCACTGGTATGCTTTGGAAATTCGTGCTCCGCTTGCCCCTTAGGAAAAACTCGTTGTCAGGATTTTCCAAGCTGTCGATTTCCAGGCCGAAGGCACAGGAGGCTATCACGTCATTGGAGTATCTCGCGAACACGTCCTTCATGTCGATGTTGTCCTCGGCACTGTAAATGTCCACGAATCGTTTCGAAAAGTTTTCCGCGCACTTCTCCATTAGCCCGAACATGGTGTGCATTTTACTCGATGTGAACGCGAAGCTCAACAAATTGCGGATTTCCCGCCACTTGTCACCGTTCAAAAACGCCAAGCTCTTACCGAACAGTGGATCACTTTGTTCATTGACAAAGACCTTGGTGTCGGAAAAATGATCGAAATTTTTGACAAGGATACTTTTTATAAGCTCCAAATCACGCACTACAATGGTTCTTGTTGTGAACATGTGGAATCCGATGTACTTGGCCTCTCTGTTGATGCTCCACAATCCCTCAAACATGAGGTTCATGTGTTTACTGGCGAAATCGTTGCAGCCGTAAATTCCTAAAAAGGGAAGTTCTCTCGGCTGAGGGATGCCCCACTTTTTGAAATAGTGTCTGTAACTATTAGCTTTGTAAATGATAAAAGTAACAATTCCAACCACGACTGACCATATTACGTACTGCATAATGAGGTTTTCAATAAACGGCGTCTTATTTGACAGAATAAAGCGAGTACACGCGAGTCGGAGCTTCAAAATGAACTGATAGAGAGTGCCTACAAGCAATAGGTGTGATGTCATTCCAAAAAAATATAGATATACACTATGTATAAACGTGACTATGAATCGCGTAACAACTGCCAAGTGGTCTTGATTAAAGATAATATTATAACACCTCCCATTTATCCAAACTTTACATCTCAGTAGTGTGATTCCAATAAAAAATATCACGACCAATACGAAATTTTACTACAAATGCAATCAACGGGATCTCACGATTTAATCTGTGAGGCTGTTTAGTCTTTGGCACTTGTTAGAACTATTAAGATCAATTAACCTTATTAAGATCAATTATTATAATCTTTCATACTTACATGTATACGAATAGAAATCTTACAAAGGTAATGAAATGATAAGATTTTTTTTTAAAGTTAGGTGTAGACCGAAGGCCTATAAATGTTAATTTTTTTGTTTGCAGTCAAATCAACAATTGTAGGTACTTTACTTAATTATGTTAGAAAAAATCATGTTGCAAGTTTAGTATAATTTTTTTTAACGATGACTAAAACTGTAATCAAAATAATACCGACAAGTTAATCAATTACTTTCGATGTATATTAATAATTTACAAAATAGTATGTAAAATAACTCAAATATTTCTTGTAAATTTTTGTTTCAAATGATTTTACAATTATTGTAAACGTTATTTTTATGTTGGCTCTAATTATCATATGAGAAAAAAAAAGTATACCCACTTAGTAAATTTTAAGTGCAACTAACAAAATCACTATGAAATCATTAAAATTTTTGTAAAATCCAAAACCGTTTGTACACCTCGAGTGCGGGAAAACAGTGCCTTGGATTGAACTATGCAAGGGGGAGACGGAATCACAAACAAATCATCGTAATGGTACTCATTTTCTAACTTTTATTTTGTACCAAAAGCCTCTTTTAGCAGCAGGAACATAACTCAATCTGTCAGCCACAAAAGGCACGGGGGTCTTATCGCACAATTTTAGGCTACATCTCGCCAAAAGGTGCACAAACAAAACTTTCGTCTCGAGAACTGCGAAACGATTGCCCAGACACATTCTCGGGCCCAGACCAAAGCCCAAATTCGTGATATCGCTCGCCGTGGGTTTTTTGTTCAAATACCTGTTAGGATCAAATACTTCTGGATTCTCGTTGTACTTTGGATCCGCATAAATACCAGAAACAGGTATTAGTATCTCATCGCCAGCTTTTACTATGTAGGGCTTGACACCAGGTAAAGCTGGCGGTAACTCAAAGTCCCTCGAGCACACGCGGTTGAGGTAACCTGTCGGATACCTTCGCATGGTCTCGTTGAACACGGCGTCCAAGAAGGGCATGTATTTTAATGCCTCGTATGTCACCTCACCTCCATTATCCCTCAGCATTGCATCGATTTCCTCTTGAAGTTTTTCTGGACGTCCCAATGCTCGGCCAACACGTGAGCTATCAAACACATGTGGGACGATGTGGTTTCGAAGCCAGCAAGGAAGAATATAAACGATTGGGCGGTGATGTCCGAGACGTCTTCGTCCGAAGTTACGTCTTTAGCTTCCATCATGAGTTGCAACATATCGGGCCTCACGATGCCATTTTCTTTTCTTACTTGTATCGCGTTTTAAATGACGTCGACGAAGTAATCGCTGTCTTTTTTCGGCACCAAACTTATGCCAAATTTTTTACTCACTTTCGGTAAAGTTACCACAAACAGTATCCTTAGGAGCGGAAGCGATTGGAAATCGAAAGTTTTCCTGCCCACGGGGTAAAACTCGTTGTTTGGATCACTTAGACTGTCGATCTCGAGTCCAAAGGCGCACGAAGCAACCACGTCGTTGGCGTACCTGGTAAATACGTCCTTCAAGTCGATCTCCTCTTTCTCACTGTACAGCTGTACAAACTTGTCGGCGAAACTCTTGGCGCATTTCGACATCAAGACAAACATCGTTCGCATTTTACTGGACGTGAAGGCTGGGCTGAGTAAATTTCTGGTTTGGCGCCACTTTCCGCCATTCGCGAATGCCAAATTCTTACCGAACAACGGGTCGATCGATTCGTCGACGAATTGTGTTTTGTGAGCGAAGTAATCGAAACTCTTGACGAGGACACTCTTTATCAGCTTGGGGTCGTGGACCATAATCACCGGTCTGTTGAACGAGTGGTATCCAATGTACTTTGCGTCTCTATTGAGGTTGTACAAATTTTTCAGTATCACTCCGATGTTGGTTCCAGCGATGAGGTGGTAAAATTGAGGAAAACCGAGAAATGGGAGCTCTCCGGGATGCGGTATGCCCCATTTATCGAAATAATTCACGCACTCGCGACTTTTCATTGCAATGTAAGCAAAAATTACGGCTACTATAGTCCAAATTAAATAATCCATGATTGAATGGCGGCTTTTGTACTGTGTACGTGCCAGCTGCGGAGTTATCCGCGCGAGAATACCGTCATGCTCGCCAGAAACGCTCGTGCTATATTAAGAGAAGTTTAAACACACTCGGTATGATGTCACTGATTGTTACGTCAGTACATCGTGCAGTATGTGTACTCGGAATAGCACCTACGATCTGCGCAGTTGCACGCGGTAACGTGTAGTCAAAATTTTTGTAAGTGGGAGTATTTTTTGAATACAATTTAATTTACAAGAACAAAATCACTTTTTTTTTCAGCTTACACTAATAACAACTTTTGCAACAAATATTGCGTCAATTTTTAGGTGATTTCACTTTTAATTTCTTCCCAAAAATAAAATTTATCAATTTTTTTAAAATAATTTTTCATCATTACTACTTGTAGCATAAATTTTAACAAAAATTTTTAGAGGAATAATGTATTTGAACAATCATTCGAAAACTATTTTCAAATATTCGGACACTTTTGTCTTTCCCAAAATGTAATGCGTTATATTAATTTGTCAGAGAAAAATTGTGTCAAAAATAAACAATTCTGTGTCATAATAAAAAGCGATTTTTAAGCACAAATAACACACACTATATTTTCTACACTAAAGTTTAAAATCAAAGTATATAAATAAATTCACATGATGAATTCTGCTGATAATAATTACTGAAAAAAGAATTGAAAAAATTTAGCATCTTACTGTGCATCTTGTGAGAATCATAATTTTTCAAAAATTATTTTTCTGATATGAATTTTTGTATTTTTATTAGATAAGTTTGATTGTAGTTTGTCTAAAAAGAAAATCATTAACTTTTTTTTTGCTATGTACAGAACAAATTTTTGTATAAACAATTTAAAAAAATAACTCAATAATGAAACTTTGTATGGTATAAATTGATAATTAATTTTTATTCAACAGCACAGTGCCCTAGTCTCGTAAAAGCAGTTCTGAATTAGTCATCACGTGAAATGTGCAATCGCTGCAGCAGTCACCCCATTCACACACTAATTTATCCTTTAAGATAAGGTGGAGCGACGCAACATTATTTTTCAACGTTAACATCCATTTTTCTCTTTCTCTGCGCACCGCGTACAGTTGACACATCACGTAAGTACAATTCCGTCGCACTTCGAAATAATCATGCCTCCAAGAACAAGAAAATATCTAAGGGAGTCTTTTACAAGCTTTTGCTTTCTCCACCCTCACCCCTGACTTATAACTTTTCTTGAAAACCTTGAAAAATTAAATACCAGAAACTTTCATACGTAAAAAAAGAAAAAAAAAGCAATGAGCCTGAAAAAAAAGGCGGAGTGGCAGCTTCCTTCAGAAAATTTACATGTGCTTTTCTCGCTGGAGAAGACGCTGACTTATTAACGTCGAGCGACGAAAAAAGAGGAAACGTGGGACTTATTTCCACTGGAAATTTCCGGCCTTGCTCGGAAGTTTGGCGTGGGTGCCGTACAAATATGCCCTGCCAGAGAAGTTTTCTTACCTCGTTTTCGCGGAGGATGTGCGCGTCCGTAAAAATAACGGTTCTGAGAGTTTTTCCTAAGTTTGTTTTATCTTTTTTTTAAAGACATGAAATACAAATTTTTTTTAAACAAACTTGAAAATTAATTTTTTTACTTGTATTTTATTTATTGAGAAATCAAAAAAAAAATGTAACGATATTTCGAATGATCTTGTGCTGGTTAGGTAATAACGATGTCGTTGACTGACTTATAAGTCGTTATTTACTCATCAAGTTCATTCCTTTTATTTACTGGTACGTGCTTTTATAAATAAAAAACAATGGTAACCTTTGTTGATGAAAAATGAAATTTATTTGCTCACAGTGTTCTACAATTTTTATTCCGACATGATTCCATGAAATTGAAGTTGAAATTTTATTTGATCTCTGATTATGCTTATTCGTATTTATAAATGATTTAAATGATTTCAGAGTCATTTTGTTGAGAAGGCACGAATGATTTCATAGAAATTCTTTGTCTCGATTCTCAATATTGTGCATTAGACTTTCACGTTAAACCATACATGTAGTACATTTTAGACAAAGTTAAAATTTGGAAGAATAAAAGTTATAAATTATAATTATATGGAAATAAGCACATCAAAACAGAAAGTCTTAATAAATTTGAGTCGAGTGTTAGAATTTCATCATTATTCAAATAGAAATAAAAAAAAGAGGTTTCATCGATGACTATTTCTTCAAAACTTTGATTAGCTGCGTAAGCGAGGCACTGTGTTTTGATGTCCTTCTTTGGCGAAAGTCGATCATCATGGCGTCGTAAAATTTGTTACGAAACGAAGTGAATTAGATATTTTAAATCAAGTTTGATTTTCTCCTGATTCATGGAAAAATAAAATATTTTGTCAGGTCAGTGGATTTTCTTTTAATTTACTCTACTGCTAGAGTAATTGATAAAAAACTGGTTTGTGAAAATTGGACAAAGTTATATTCTCAAAGGATAATTTCACGCCATATACTTTCAGCCCAATTTTCTCTTCACGTTTTGCCCGAGAATTTAATTAAGGCCAGTATTTTCAGTTGAAATAATGAAAGAAAGATTAACAGAGGGAAAATGTTCAGTATGTAAAATTAGAATTTACAACGGGTCTGCTAATTTAATTCAACAGTTATTCGATGGGGCTACATTTATATCTCCAACGTGGATGAAGTTATTTCAAGAATTTGTATAAATTATTACGTTTTCTGCATTATCACGTGGTTAAAACTTTAATCTAAGTTAGAGTTAATAAATAACGTAAATTGAAGCAATCCAGAATATCATGACTCGCCATAAGTTCAAGGTTTTAACAAATAAAATTAATGATATTGCATGAGACTTTTTGTGTTAAACTCAGGTAAATTAATAAACTATTATTCTCAGTTTTTCTTATCCAATGATTACAAACTCAACTAACATAAAAAAAAAAAAAAAAAAAAATAGAGAAACAAATGTACTGTAACTAAATAAGACTTGTAAGGTCAAAGTGCACTAGGAATATCTAGATAGTCAGTTGTAACAATTTTTCATCGACTTTTCTCTCCTTTGAGCATCACACTGTAAGTAATAACATTCGTATTTACCCCTCTAAAATGCTTTTTCTGTTTGCTACAATCTGAGTGTTTTTCCTGGGTAAAA